CTTTGGAAGCAAGGCCGTTTTGTTCTCCCACTTGTGCTCTTCCTGACCCGAGCCCCCTTCCCGCTGCTGTGTTACATTGAGGGAAGACAAGGCTCTCCTCTCACCCCTGCTCTGAGTGATCAGGCTGCCAGTGGGAGAGCAGTGCATGCAGGTGATTCATCAGCACTCATGCGGTGAGGACTGTCCTGTGGATCAGATGGATTGTCCTCGTGGCTGGAAAAAGCTTAGGGGATGTATGTTGGTCTCATAATAATCCCGGTCCAAGTATTGAATTGAAGGGCTGGGGTATTGGCTAGAAGACAAAAGCACTGTGGGGGGTGCTTGAAAAGTTATGGTGAAAAGTTTCTGAGAACAAGTTTTTGTTTGAGTTTGATTGGCATTTGCACCTAATGGTGAACTAATATTCTGTTTTCTGCTACCATCCAAGTGGGGGAGAGGAAGAAAGGGGAGGGAAGAAAAATCCTGAAGCATGTTTTTGAAAATGCTGTGCTTAGCATTGTGACAAGTTTGACACAGGGGTTTATCTAAGGCTGCATTTTAGGGGGGAGGCAGGGAAAAGGGACAAAACTCCTTGAGGAGAGGTGGCTGTTTTCCTGTTCTGACAGTTTGCTGGTATCACCTGTTGGTAGAGGAAACACCCATCGAACCAGAATCTCTGCAAACTTTGTGTCGATTTTTTGTTGTTGAGTTTTCTCTGTGTGGGTTTTTTTTTTGCTGTTGTTTTATTTTGGTTTTGGAGTTTTTTGTTGTTGTTTGTTGGGTTTTTTTTAAGAATAATTCCTGTGCTCATTGCAAGTTGAACTTTTGTTTCCAGGGATTGCCCAGGCTGTTAAACTCTTTTCTTGGAATGATGGTCCACAGATAGGAGGGGTTGTGGGCAGTGGGTTCTTGGGATCTTGCTTCTGTGGGGACTGAGAAATCTCAAGCTGGCAAGGGGTGTCAGGGTGCACAGGAGGTCCCTGGAACCAGAACAGAACTTCTTGGGCATTTCTGATGCTCCAAAGTCTTAAGTCTGCCCCAGTTACTCAGTAGGGATGATGACCATTTTTAACTGGCAGGTCTGCCTTGCCCTACCAGGACAGGTGATATTAAACTGGATCTTCAGCCCTTTGTAGGGATCAGATGATATTACCAGACCTAACCAAAAAAAGAGAGATGGCTGAATTTTTTTGGCTAGTTTGTCACTTTTTTTTTCTTTTGAGGAAATGTTCTGAACTGTTAAGTTGAAAACTTACTGTGGCATCTTACCATCTGTTTCTTTCTTTTTCAGGGTTGGTTAAAAACGTATGGCTACTTACTTCCATCTGACAGCCAAATGTCTGCCTTGCAGTCGGGAAAAGCTGTGCAGTCTGCAGTTGCCACTATGCAACAGTTTTATGGAATCCCAGTGACAGGAGTTTTGGACGAGACAACTATTGAGTAAGATTAACAGTGGCTACTTTTGTCTTTCCCTTTCTTAATGCAGTCATATTACCTGCATGATTATTCCAGGAGCAAGAAGTCCTCCAAAGGGACAGATTTGACTGATTGAGCCAGAGAAGTCTTGATTGTGAAAAGG